AACTGACAAAAACTGTATATATTTATGGTGTACAACATGATGTTTTGATATACATACACCTTGTGGAATGACTAAATCAAGCCAATTAACATAGCCAATACCTCACATACCTACCATTTTTTGTGGTGAGAACATTTAATCTACTTTTGGCAATTTTCAAGAATACAGTACATTGTTATTAACTATAAACACCACACTGTACAACAGATCTCTTGAACTTATTCCTCCTATCTGAAATTTTTTTATCTTTTGACCAATATTTCCCCAATCCTCCTCCCTCAAAACCCCTGGTAACCACCATTCTACTCTCTGTTTCTACAGGTTTGACTTTTTTAGATTCCACATGTAAGTGAGATCATGAAGTATCTGTCTTTCTGTGTCTGGCTTATTTCACTTAGCATAATGCCCTCCAGGTTCATCCATGTTGTCACAAATGACAGCATTTGCTTCTTACTGAAGGCTGAATAGTATTTCATAGTGTATATATAACACATTTTCTTTATCCATTCATCTATTGCTGGACACTTAGGTTGACTCTATATTGTGGCCATTGTGAATAATGCTGAAAATCAGCCTTTATTTTAAGCATTTAAAAAAATACAGTAAATTCTCTGGCTAGGAGATTAAATTAATCAACATATCCACAAGAATAACCAACTGGAAGAAGCCTTAGTTCATGTTTGCTCCAACTTGCCACCCAATTTCTTCAACATATGGTTAAAAAGGATCATGTAGCTTGTCTGAGCCCTTCTAGTGAAAAGTAACTAAATGCTTTGCAAGGTAGCCTACCCAGGTTTTCTGATAGCAAGTTAAGTTCTTCCTTACACCAAAACCAAACCTTTTAACATTAACACTTATTCCTAATGCTCCTTTATGGAGAAACAGATAAGTCTATTTCCTCTTTCACATGATCATCTTTCAAATATTTAAAGGTTTCCCAGAAGTCATCTTTTCCCTTTATTATTCCCTTGCAAACTGGCTTTTGTACCAAGGCAACCTGGGTTCAAACCTGGGTTTTGTACCTAACTCAACCTGTTTTTTAAAAAGTCACCAGCAAATATATAATAAGGAAAATCTATCTGGTTGATTTGTATATATACACAAACTGTTGTACATATAGGTCAAAACATTTGAAAAGATACACACCAAATTAACAGTGTTAGAAGTGAAAAACCAGAATTACAGGATCTTTAACTTTCTACTTTTTACATGTCTACATTCCTAAAATGTTTTTCTCAGTCTTCATCTTTACCATTCTTTGCATTCTTTCATCCAACTGACTATCCCTTCTTACCGGAACACTGTGCTCTTCACAGGCTCTTTGAGCTACTCTCAGAGTTTTCCCACTTCCTAGAGGTGGGAATTCCCTAGGCTTCTTCCCTGACATCTTTGTATTTCGGTATTTTTCCTTTTCACTTCCTCCCAATAATGCCATACCATGGCTTCAATCATTAATTCTGCATTGATGATGCCAAGTTTAGCTCTGACTTTCCTCCTGAACTGCAGACCTGCACCTGTAAAGGTCTGATAGACATCTTCCCTTACATAAGCCATTAGCAGTCCAGCTCATCACCCTTCCCATTCCCACCCTCCTCTGAACTTGCTGATACTCTGGACTTCCCTATTTCTGTAACAGGAACCAACATCTTCCTAGGCACTTCTCAGCTGTCAAGCATGTCAAGCATCCAAAATGTTTCTGAATCAACCACTACTTTCTACTGTTTTCATTCCCCAGTGTAGCCTCTTATTATTGCCTACCCAGACTATTAAAACAGCCTCCGAAGTGATCACTCACTGCTGTCAAATTAATCAATTCAAAGCATAGCTCAGATTCTGTTTTTTCCCTGTTTAAAAACCTTCAAGGAACTTGAACTCATATTTGTACACCAATGTTCACCAATGTTGATAGCAGCAGTATTCACAATAGCCAAAAGGTAGAAAATCAAATGTCTGTTGAATGAATGGATAAACAAAATGTGATCTATATTGCCTTGGCAGTGTGGCAAGACCCCATCCCTACAAAAACAATTATTAATACATACAATGGATTGTTATTCAGCCTTAACAAGGAAGGAAATTCAAACATGTGCCACAACATGGATGAACGTTGAAGACATTATGCTAAGTGAAATGAGCCAGACATGAAAGGCTTACTTCAAAAAAAATTTTAGGACAAGTGTGGTGGCTCATGCCTATAATCCTGGCACTTTGGGAGACCAATTTTAAAAGGCTTATTTCACATGCAAAAAAATATAGAACTCTATTTACATGAGGTACCCAGAATAGTCAAATTCATAGAGGCAGAAAGTAGAATAGTGGTTACCAGAAGCTGAGAGGAATGAGGAGGTATTGTTTAATGAATACAATTTCAGTTTGGGAAGATGAAAATGTTCTAGAGATGGATGGTGGTGACACTTGCAGTGATATGAATGTATTTAATACCACCCAACTGTATACTTAAAAACAGTTGAATGGTAAATTTTATGTTATGTATATTTTACCCCCCACACAGAACTTCAACAATTCCTTACTATCTGACAAATGAAGTATAAATTACTCATTTTACCACTGAAAATCCTCCAGAGAAAGCCAAACTATCTTTCTAGCTTGACTTTCCATTAATCCCACTTCTCGGTGTAGAATACTGGTTCAGTAATGTTAAGTCATTATTTATAAAAAGTCAAAAAGTATGGGGAAGGCTGGATTACATAAAGAAAACTAGGGCTTTTCAAGCTATTTTACATTGTGAAACTCCAAAAGAGCTTTGGAACAAATAAATGAACCTGAAAATAACTTATTCAATTAGATCATTCTCACACATGTTAATAAAACTTAATGATTTAAAGTTTAATGGCATTATACTTACAGTAAAAAAAGAAGTCCCACAAAAGCGAGTACACATTCCTCGTACAAAACCTTCATGTGCTTGTATTGCACGAATACATTTTTGTTTAGTCAGGTTCCAAATTCTAACCT